AAGGGATTTTCCTGCCTCAGCCTCCCGGTTGGTAGGAAAGACAGGCATGCACCACCACGCCTGGTTAAAGTTTTTTGATATTTTTAGTAGAGACCGGGTTTCTCTGTGTTGGTCAGGCTGGTCTTGAACTCCCGACCTCAGGTGATCCGCCGGCCTCGGCCTCCCAAAGTGCTGAGATTATAGGCGCCTGCCACTACGCCCGGCCGCTGTTCATTCTTGATCCCATCCCTACTCTAGAATTCCCCATCCCCTGTCCCTGCTTGATTTTTTTTTCCATAAGTCTTATCTCAGTCTAACATATTACATCATTCACTTGTTAGTTTCATTTTTTTGTAGATTGCAAGTACCCTGAGGACCATAACCTCAGTACCTTGAAAAGGACCTGGCATACAGGGGGGTCCACTCCAGAAAGATCTGTGGAGTGTGTGAATTGCTCACACTTACAAGTGAAGGAAGATGCTACATCTGTTTCATGGACCATGTGACTTCATAGGAAATTTAAGGGGCCCCAGCGATGTGTGTTGCTGGTGTGGTTCAGCTTGGTCCAGTTCTTCATTCTGCAGAGGTCTTGGGTTTAGGAACACTCTGGTGGCTGGGTTGTGCCCCATCCAGCTCACACCTCTGCTTTTCCAGGAAGAATTAATTTAGGGTTGGGTGTGGTGGCTCATGCCTGTAAGCCCAGCACTTCGGGAGGCTGAGGCGGGTGGATCACCTGAGGTCAGAAGTTCGAGACCAACCTGGCCAACATGGCGAAATCCCATCTCTACTAAAAATACAAAAATTAGCCAGATGTGGTGGCGGGCGCCTGTAATCCTAGCTACTCAGGAGGCTGAAGCAGGAGAATCGCTTGAACCCAGGAGGCAGAGGTTTCAGTGAGCCAAGATTGCGCCACTGCACTCCAGCCTGGGTGACAGAGCAAGACTCCATCTTAAAACGAAACAGAACAAAACAAAACAAAAAAAGAATTCATTGAGCTGTTTGGGAACATCGAAAACAAGCCCCAGGTCCCTTAGGAGATGCTCTACATGGGTTGAAATCTGCTCTTTGGGGAGAAAGAAGAGTTGCTTGACTGCTTCTTCCCTCTCCTTTTACCTCTGTCCCTATCCTGAAATCTATCCCCTGCCTCATGGCCCATGCTCCATCAGTGGCCACCCCTGCTGCTGTCAGCTCTGTCTCCCAAACATCTCCTTCCTTCTCACCATTACCATGGTTACACTCTGGTTTCCCCCCACCCCCCAACCCCGCCACCTGGGATCCCTGCCTCCGTTTCCAACCATCACTACCACAGCAGCCAGGCTGACGTGTCTAAATCGGTCATTCCCATCACACTTAGAATGAGAACTGAGGTCTCCCCTTGGTCCCAGGCCCACATGACTGGGTTCCTGTGCTGTCTCTGCCGTAGGACCCCACTCTACCCCTGCACTGGGCTCCTGCAAGACCAGCCACACCGCTGATCCTCAAACATGATGCTCTGTGTCTGCTTTAAGGACTCCTCTCTTGCTGTTCTCTCTGTCAGCTACTCTTTTCCCTAGAACTCTTACCTAGTTCCCTTTCTTCACTCAGAGAAACTGTGGGACCACCTTATCTAAGTGACATGCCCCCAGACCCACTGGTCCCTCCCCCATCACTCTCCACTCTCCAACTCCTCCCAGACCACTCAGAAACTATCTCCGCTGGGGCTGGGCATGGTGGCTCACGCCTGTAATCTCAACACTTTGGGGGGCTGAGGCAGGCGGATCACCTGAGGTCAGGAGTTTAAGACCAGCCTGGCTTAACTGGTGAAACCCCATCTTTACTAAAAATACAAAAAATTAGCCAGGCATGGTGGCACACGCATGTAATCCCAGCTACTCGGGAGGCTGAGGCAGGAGAATCACTTGAACCCGGAAAGCAGAGGTTTGGTGTCACTTGCACTCCTACCTGGATGAAAGAGCAAGAGACTCCATCTCAACAACAACAACAACAACAACAACAAAACTATCTCAGGGTGCAGAGGGCAGGGAGAGGGTGTTTCACACTTGTTTATTACTTGTTTCTTACACTAGGATATAACCTTCATGAAGGCACTGGCCCTCTTTGTTTGATTTACTCTTGGATCCCCAGGACTGACAATAGTGCTGGCACTCAGTGAGTACTTAGTAAATATCTCTCGAGTGAATGAATGAATGAATGGGCTCTGGTGCCATCTTCTCTAGGGAACCCTTCTGGAAGGACCTCCTCTGGTCTGGGTTAGGGAACAGGTTCCCTCAGCACCTTACGCTTCCTTCTATTCCAGCATGCAGCATAAACATTAGGTCCATAGGTCTCCCTCCAGATGGCTAGCCCTCAGGGAGAGGGGCTGCTTCTGCCCCCTCACAGCCTCCCCTGCGGCAGATGAGCTGTGCAGATGGGTTTGATAGACCTTAACTAGGAGTGGACTCAGGCCCTGCCCACCCCAGGTGCAGCTCAGCCCGCATCTTGGGCCTAAGCTCTGCACACCTCTGGGAGCCACCCGCCTACCTCTGGCGAATGGGGACCCAGCTGTTTTCTTCTGGAAGCCTGTTGCTTGCATTGATCTCGGGGCGTTAGACTATGATTTACTTGAGTGTTCACATATTCACCCGCCCAGTCACTTCATTGCTGAGTCATCAAAGTGCTTTTTTGGGTCAAATTCCCTGTCATGGCCTTTTCTGGGTGCTTGGGGTGCAGAAATGAATGGGATATAGCTCTGCCTTCAAGAAGCTCATAGCCTCTTGGGGATCCCAAGTGTGAACCAGTGAAATTGCAGCAAAGTGTGGTCAGGGTTGAATTGTAGACATATGCAGTGTGCCAGGGAGGCCCCAGAGGAGCTTCTGAATCAGAAGCAGGGGTAAGGAGTGGGGGCAGGGGGAATCCTTCTAGAAAAATCATCCCTGTCTCCCAGCTTCTCTCAAGATCTAGGTTAGAACTTCGTAGAGAATGATAGAAACTCACGTCTTCCAGCTTTAAAAAATGATTTTTGTTGTCCAGCCCAGGACTAGCATTTTATAGACCAGGAGTCAGCAAACTATACCAAATGAAGACTGCTGCCTGGTTGTGTAAATCAAGTTAAGCTTCACTGTAACACAGCCACACATATGCCTCCTTATTGTCAGTGGCCACAAGAGCAGAGCTGGGTAAATGGGACAGAGACTGTATGGCCCCCAAAAGCCTAAAATATTCAACATCTGATCCTTCACAGAAAAAGTTTGCTGACCCCTGTTACAGATGTTCAAAAAATATTATTGGATTAAGTCAACTCAAATCAGACCTTCAGAATCCTGTGTTGCCAATCTGAGTCCAAGTCTTTTGTCCAGGGACACCAAAATGAACCAAATACTCTATGCTCTATGCTTTTCTTTCTTAAAAACAAGGAAATGGAGGTGTTGAATTGTTAGGAATTGCCGCTGAAGAATCCTCTATCTCTTCTTAACAAAAAGCATTCATTGAGCCGTTATAAGGGCAGCAATGAATGAGACAAGTTTCCTGCCCCCAGGCGCTTACTGCCTAGCAGATAAAGCATGACATAATTCAGACTCCACCTGGTGAGCCCTGTGCTCTGGGAGTGTGGCTCCCAGTGTGAGGCTTGGCTTTGCTTGCTGGCTTCCGCCTTCTACATTCAGGCCTCACCTCTATCATGCAGTGTCTCCCAAGTTGAGCTGTTTTTCCAAGGGCCCTCCCCGCCAGGCTGTGCTCTTCTTGGGGCCAGGTACTGCGTCTCCCTCATCCATCTTGGCCTCCCCAGCACTGAGCACAGGATCCAGCACACAGAAGCAGTTCAACCCACATTTACTGCACAGCTGGGCTCCTGCAGCCCCAACCCAGACACAGTCGTAGGTAACAGGTAACCACAACCAAATGGCCTGTTAGGAATTCCAGTTAAGAGCAACGTCTTGAGGGAATTCATAAAAGGAAATGACGAGCAGGGTATGATATTTTTTCCTTTAAAAAAAGAATCTAAAAATTGCATCGTGTTGCCTCCCTCTCTCTTCCCAGCTGCCTGACTGACTTCACATTCCACGGGCTTTTCAATGAAACCAGATTCCAGGCTGACCTGAGAGCTGGGCTTGAGGTGAGAAGTAATTATTGAAAGAGACAGGGGCAATCTATATAATAAAATGCCTCCTACATGCTTCATAAAAGTAATCTGAGGGTAATGGCAACCCTTGTGCTGTTGGGGAGGGGAGGTGGAAGGGTCTGGAGCAGAGGCGGGGATGCTCCTGGGAGGAGAGCAAACCTCCTTCCAAAGAGATGGCCTGAGAACCTTTGGTTTTGCTGTCCCAGGCATCAAGGACTCTCAGCCCCTCTCTTGGAAATCCCTTTCTCAGGGAATAGGTAGCCTTGTTAGTTTTTGCTGCTACTTGAGACATTTCTTTGGGGCCTCAGACTGCTTTCTCTTGATAATATGTCTCAGGTGGATTTAAGATTGCAGCTGTTACATCAGGATTTAACTTTGACTTACTTGACTTGCGGGGGAAGAAAAAAATCTCTCTCTCTCTCTCTCTCTTTTTTTTTTTCATTAGAAGTTCCAATCTGGCACTGCCTGGTGGGTTACTTCATCCAATTATTCAAGAAATATTCACTGAGCGCTTATTACGTGCCAAGCACTGGGCTGAGAATATAATGGTGAATGCTAGGGTGAGTCCATACGCTAACAGAGTTGGGAGATGGTTACTCAAATAGTCAAGGTCCCCACAGCAATGATAAAGTACCGTCCTCTGGGAACTCATGCAGAAGGCAGGAAGGACTTCCTGGAGAAGGTGATGTTTTAGCTGAGGTCGACTGAGTAGGAGTTTGCCAGACAAAGATGGGGAGGGAAGGGCATTGCAGGCAGAGGGAACAGCATGTATGAAGGTCTGCACTCCGGAAAGGAGAGAGACTCAGCTTTTGCCTGCCCTCTGCTGTGATGAGGGCCTCTAGATAGGCCTGGTCCTTGACTCTGTGAAGGATGGAAGGGCAGGGCCCACCACCAGGAGGGAGATAAAAACAATGTGTGCACTCACGGAGGAAATATTCTGCTGTGTCAGCTTCGTAATCTGCATCCTCTGGGAAGTGATCGATTTGCTTGCACAGACCTTTGAAATTCCCTGCAAAACAAGGGGAGAAGGAGCGCATGAAACATCATAGTTTTGGGGGCGCTTAGGGCCCACCTGCCTCTTCTAGAGTTCTGGCTCTTTGGAAACTCACTCAGCCGTCTCCCTCACCCCTGAAGGAAGGTTTCATTTTGTCTGTTTGGACATCTGCCTGGTGAATCACAATACACACCCGCAGTACTGCGGAGAGGATCTAAAGCCGACGACTTCAAAACGCTGCCTTCTGTCCCTGCACCGGAGCTTCTGAGGATTAACGGAGGCTTGGCAGCGGCGGAGGCTTGATTCCGGGCTGGGGACTGCCACGGAAGAGGCTGACGAACGCTCCCCAGCCCGTCGCTGTGCCCCAGCTTGGCTGGGAGTCACCCTGCATTTTACATGTGAGAAAGCAGCAGATCACTTTCTAACAGGGACACACCCCACACTGGCGCTGCCAGATGCTGCCACAGCCCTTTAGAAGAGCCTGCAAAACACTTTCCCATCTGCAATTGCGCGGAATTCACCAAACCCAGCCGCCAACCGCTCTGAAATAAATATGGGGGTGGGGAGGAGATTGAGCCCCCTGGGGGCTGTACCCTTGGCCAAGTTCTTGAACTACAACTCAATTTGGTTCCACCGCAGGCCTGTGAGAGGGGTCTTATCATCCCCATTGTACAGATGAGGACACTGAGGCTCAGGGAGGCTAAACTAGCTGAGTAAGTACTTGTGGCTAGGAAATGATGGAATCAGGGCTCCAGCTAGGGTCTTTGACTCTAAACATTTCCTTGGTGCCTGCTGGGAAGGTGAGAACTGGCCCGGGGCAAATCCCAGCACAGTGTCACAGGCAGGTCCTCCCCTATGTTCACTGATGAGTGAGTGAACTCTTGAATGCAGCCTTTCCAAAAACTGATAAGTAGCATAGACCGTAAAATCACCAGAGCATCAGCTTCCTGATAGCAGAGACTGTTTCATTCACCATCTTATCCCCAGCACCAGCGTAGGCACAGCGAACGTCCTTTAACCTTCTCTGAATGGAAGAAGAATTGGGTGGGGTGTATGCACAGTGGGTAAGATGCAGGTTGCATAGCTAGACTGCCTGGGTCCAGCTGTGTGTCACTCAGTGTCCTCACCTGAGAGTGGCAATAGCAAGAATTCTTCCCTGGCAGATTGTCGTGGAGGTTCACTGAGCTGATGCATGTTGAGTAGTCAGAACAGTGCCTGACACATTTAGGAAGTCCTTGGGGGCATTGACGTGAGAGAGAAATGAAATTTGACTATGTCCAGCCACTGACTTAGTAGCTAGTGTGACCTAATTAATAGAGCCCTCAATACATGTTGGCAATGATTTCCTTCTACAGTCCTGAGACTATGTCTTATAAAGTAGGGGCAGATTCCAGTATGTACTATAGATATTACTCAGGAATTTTACGGTATTACATATACCTTTTTCTTTTTTTCTGAAATGGAGTCTCACTCTGTCACCCAGGCTTAAGTGCAATGGCACGATCTCGGCTCACTGCAACCTCTGCCTCCCGAGTTCAAACGATTCTCCTGCCTCAGCCTCCCAAGTAGCCGGGGTTACAGGCACACACCATCATAACTGGCTAATTTTTGTATTTTAGTAGAGACGGGATTTCACCATATTGGCCAGGCTGGTCCCCCACTCCTGACCTCAAGAGATCTGCCTACCGTGGCCACCAAAAGTGCTGGGATTACAGGCATGAGCCGCTGTGCCCAGCCTAGACCTATATATATGTACAAAATATAGAATTATATATTAGTTTGGTGCAAAAGCAGTTGTGGTTTTTGCCATCCAAGTAATAGTGAAACCGTAATTACTTTGCACCAACCTAATAGTACGCAGGTATATAGTATACAGGGATACTTATTACTACATAGAAATATAAGCATTTTAGGAACTTCTGGCTATGCTGTGTATAATGGAAAAGAGGAACCTCTGTAACTTCCTTTCACACATGAGCTCTCCCTGTACCAAATTCACCAACTTTTTCTACAAGAGAAACAATTCCCCAGAGCATATCGGGACTTCTGGTCGCTTCACTGAAGCTTGGTAGGGCCACTCAAAATGGTCCCATGGGCAGGTGTCTTCTCTGAGTGTTTTGGGTTCCGTGCTTTTTGCTGTTCCCACCCCTCTCCTGTCATGGCCTCTCTGCCCTCCTGTATCTTGGGGTGTTAAAAGGAAGCCTTGTCCCCTCCGTAGTACCTTGTTTCCCTAATCCAACCACACACCCTTCTCTGTGGGAAAAGTCTTCATACCAGCTGCTAAGAGGATAACAAATTCTCCCTATTGTTACAATTACGAATCAGTGTATTTGAAAAGCACTTTGCGAAGCACTTTCATATCCTTTCAATTCAATCTGACAAATATTTCAGCAAGCCGGTGCCAGGCATCTTTATAAAGAATCTGTGCAGGAGTGAGGCTCAGAGAGCAGTACTGACATGCCCCGAGGCGTCCCACAAATTGAGGACAGAGCTTAACCCAGAAGGGCCCCAGCTGCATCCTGGTGGGCCACACCCACTCCTGTTCCCCACAGGAACAGGAGGGTGGAAAGGGAGGGATTATGAGGATGGATCATGGAGTCCAAGCTGGGTAAACAAGGAAATGAGGACCTGAAGGGCAAGTGAGGCAGTGCAAAGGCAGGGGTGCGGGGTGGAGCAGGGAGGGCAGTCAATGCTTTTGAGCCTAGGGTTGGGGTGGGGTCAAAGCGTTATTGAAATGGGGGTGCATGGGAGTGAGCTGCAGTGGTGGCACGTGGTAGCCAGAGAGTGGAATGTAAAAGACAGAGTGGAGGGGGTGCGGGTATTGGAAATGCCAAGGGCAAGGGTAAGACCCCACAGGAACAGGAGCTCACATTCTACGGGGAGCCTGGTGGCTCCTCCAGTGCAAACCTGGGCCTCACTCATCCTTGGACCATTGGCTCCGAGCACAGTGCCTGGCACAGAAGGAGGGTTCAGGAGATGCTAACAGAGAGGCCGTGTGAGATAATCAGTGGCCCAGACCTCTCCTCGAGGCCTAGACCTGGGTATCCGACTGCCTATTTGATGTCTCTTGGTGGATGTTTTAAAGGCACTGAACGTGAACTCTTGATCTTTCCCTCCTGCCTGGTGCTCTGGAGGCCCCAGTTAGCTCGGCAAATGCTTCTCCAGCACTTCCTGGTGTAAGCCTGAGCCCAGTTGTCAGCACCGACATCTATCTCTTCCTCCTCCCTGCAGGCTCCATCCATCAGGGTGTCCTGTCTGTGTTAGATCCTTAGTGTCTCAAACTTGCCTGATGCCTCTGAGACAGCACCACCCACCACCAGGCCACCATCCCTGCTCCCTGGATGGCTGCCGTGGCCTCCCCACTCATCAGTTTGCACCCACTCTTATCCTTCTCTACAGAGCTATGACGGTGATCCTTTGTACATGCAAATCTGATCATGCCACCTCCAGCTCGGAAACACTCCAGCTTCCCAGCGCTCTCGGAGAAAAGCTCAACATCTCTAACAAAGCCTGACCCTCAACCTCTACCTCTGGCCTCACCTCCCACCTGCCTCCTCCCTCCTTGCTCAGCTCTGCCTTCTTTCCTGCCACGCTCCCTCCTACCTCAGGACCTTGGCACATGCATGCTGGTCCTGCTGCCTGAGCACCCACCATGTCCTTTGTTGCCTCTTTCTCCTAACCTCCCTGTGTCTCCCTGCACTGTGCTACTGGGGTGTCCTCCACTAGCTGGCTAGTGCTGGCTGCTTTGTGTTGGAGGGAGATATTAAGGCCTGTATGCTACTAGTGGGAATGTTCTAGTAGAGAGGGAAGAAGGGAAGGACTGGGGGCAGTGGCTTAGGCTTTAGCTTTGGGAAGCTGAGACAGGAGGATCCCTTGAACCCAGGAGTTCAAAACTAGCCTGGACAACATAGCAAGACCCTATATCTACAAAAAATAAAAACTAATTAGCCAGGTGTGGTGGTATGTGTCTGTGGTCCTAGCTTACTTGGGAGGCTGAGGCAGGAGCATCCCTTGAACTCAGGTGTTTGAAGCTGCAGTGAGCTAGGATAGCACCACTGCACTCCAGTCTGGTGACAGAGCAAGACTCTGTCTCGAAAATAAAATCAAAATAAAAAAGTAAAAGAAAGGAGGACAGAAGGGATGACTTGCAGAGATGGAGGCGCAATACAGGTGCACTGCGCAAGGAGACGAGGCCCAGGACACAGTGCAAGGGTGGGTGGTGCTGTGCCAGGAGGGACGGCAGAGCTCGTGGGTGCAGTGCTGGGGATGGGCAGACATGGTGGGAGGGTATAACACTTCTCTTCTGCTTGCTTCTATTTTCCCTACGAAATGGGAAGTAGGAGCATTAACTGCGAGGACGGGGAGGAAGGGTTGGGGATGGGAGGACAGAGGAAGGGAAGCGAGAGTGGGAGGGAGTGGACCAGGCTGTGAAGTATGTGTGTCAGTGGCATGAAGGTCTCTTCTGAGATTCTGTGGCTTTCTCCGGCCACATTCGGGGCGTGGGTGCAGTTAGTTGGAGAGTCGCCTCTAACCAGGAGGAGGTTTGTGAGGTGAGTGCAACAGGGAGAGGGTGGAAAGGGAGGGATTATGAGGATGGATCATGGAGTCCAAGCTGGGTAAACAGGGAAATGAGGACCTGAAGGGCAAGTGAGGCAGTGCAAAGGCAGGGGTGGGGGTGGAGCAGGGAGGGCAGTCAATGCTTTGAGCCTGGGGTTGGGGTGGGGTCAAAGCATTATTGAAATGGGAGTGCATGGGAGTGAGCTGCAAGGGTGACACGTGGTAGCCAGAGAGTGGGATGTAAAAGACAGAGTTGAGGGGGCGCGGGTATTGGAAATGCCAAGGGCAAGGGTAAGAGCCCGATTGAGGCGGCTCGGGACAGGTGGAGGTAGGATGATCTTCAAGTACGCACTGGAAAGGTCATACAAATTAATAGATAAGGTAAAACTACAATGTTCGCTCATATGTTCTGTATACATCAAGTATATATTAAGAAACTGCCTACCCGGTTAAAATGT